CAAAAGCAAGAAAAATATACAATATAATATTTTACATTCACTAAATACTGTCAAGTTACTTTTATCTACTTCTGACAATATACAATGAAGTAAAGAAGTAGCTGTTTTGTTCAGCTTTCCATCGCCAGTCTCAGGCAGAGAAGCTGTTTGGTGTAAAAGCTGACGGTGTGTAGTGCTGTATCTGTAAAGCACTTCAGGTTCTTGTCACATCAAACTGTTTTCTCCCTCCTTCTGTTTGAGTTGCAGCTTAGAACTGTCCCTGCTGCCTGCCCTGCAGCAGCTCTAATACAGCTATTAGGTTTGTTTGGGCTGAAGACTAACATGCAGCAGATTCTTGAGAGCAAAAATTTTCAGGATGCTTTAATGTGTAAGATTCTCATACAGGATTCTCTCTGCAGCTTTTTTGCCTTTTGATCATCCTACCCAGCTTTTTTTTTTTTTTTTTTTTTTTTTTTTTTCCTTTTTTGCAATGAACACAGTATTCCAATTGTTGGCTTTAAAGAAGAGAAGGACGACGGGACAGAATTCAAATCCTGTTCCTTAGAACATCTCACACACAAACATGTGGTTTGGTGTTTGGTTATTTGTTTCATTTTGCAGTGAGTTTGTTGTTTTGGTTGGTTGTTTGTTTTGGTTTGCTTTTGTTTTGGTTTTATTTAATTTCTTGGGACATAAATTTGAAATGCTCTATTTTTTTCCTCTTCTTTCACTAATGTACCTCAAAGACTTAATCTGATTTTCTGGTATCACATTTTTTTCTGGAAGTGGAGGGTTCTTCCCCACTCTCCCTGCCTTTCCCCCTCCTCCCCCACTTCTATGGTTCCTACTACCTTGTGAGTAGGATGTAAAACAAGCAGGTGGATGGAGAGGTAGGTGGAGAAGCACAGAACTGGTGCTGATTCTGCTCTCACAGAACTTACCATCAGGTAGTTTGGTGCATTTTGTCTTTACCTGATAAAGTGGGTGCTCAAGTAATGATTACAGAACTAAACTTGATTTCAAATTGCAGTATTGTGGGATATCCACATAAAGCTACCAGAATGTAGTGATCATCTACAAGTGTGTTTTAGCAAGGCCTTTCTTAAGTAGATTTTCACTGTTCTCAGTGCTCCAAGGAGTTATCAGACAGCTCTAGACTTTGGTGCAGTGCTAAGGATGGAAGATCTTACTGAGAGCCCAGCAGTGCTCAGGACTTCTATACAATTTGGATCATAGTCTGCACCAAACTTGATTACTGACACTGCATAAAAAAAACCAATTCTGATTCTTCTAAGCACAGACTCTGAAGGAAATACTGTGGTCTTTAGTCAAAGACTCTGGTTATGTGAAGCATATCTTTGAGGTAGATGTTTTAAGCTGACTTTGTTCATCATTAGTTTTATGTTCCATATAATAAGCTCTGTTCTAGATTAATCCCTAAAGGTCAAATACTATTACCATTATGTAGACCCAATGTTCTTTTTATAATTGGAAAGTTTCCTCAAGGAGAAGACAGTTTCACAACATTCTGGAAGTCACACTTTGTATTAGCTCTTCCAAAGAAAACTGCCCACAAAGACACTTATCTTGTGAGCTTTGGGTTGTGGTTTTTTTTTAAACTCAGTTTTTCCGGTTGAATGCAGCTGTTTCAGTGGGTGGAAAGTGATGATATGGCCACAGAACAAGAAATGGTGCTGAAGATCCTAGCCAGTGGTTTGAGCTAAGGAAGTGGACACAAGCCAGTAGAGGATTTATGTAACTTCATCTCCTTTTGTACTTGATACTAATCCCTTTGTGATGTCTAGCGTTTGTTTTCTTATTTTTTAAATACTGATATAAATGTAGCAGTGGAGAGGAACTGCCTGGTTTATTTGACTAGCAGTCTACAGAAATCAGAAGTGGATAGCAAATTCTGTCTCTGCATGAAATGTTGCAATTCTGAGCAAACCACTTCTTCCCCTGTTTAACATCTAAGCAGTTATCCAGTCCTGCTTTTCAGGAACACCCAAAACTTGTCCTCAACCTCATCAGTGTTTGGAATGTGAAAGAATGCAAGACTGAGCCTGGAGCTGGTAAATTTTCCCTCATAATGTCTTTACTTCCATGTTTGTATTTATCCAAGTTCAGCCAAAATCTACTTGCTGTGACACTCATTCCAATCCTGGTTAACTCCAAGAGTCTTGTTCAGGATTTACTCTAGTTTCCCTGAAGGAATAAATTGGCCCAAAATATTACAATCTTAATAGATTATAGAAAAAAACCCAACCCACACCAAAAACTAAATAGAATATTCAAACCTAATGTCATTGTGTTTGTGGATTCAAAAGAATTAGTCACATAAAGATCCCTCTGAGGCCTCAGATTCTTTGGCCAAATGTTTGGGGTTTTTTTGTTTTCAGGATTTTTTCCAACATGTGGTTAGTTTGCTGGCCCATTCCTGAAAATGTAAGGCATCCCATTACAGATAACTTGGGGTTTGGAAACTATAATTTTGCAACTGCTACATTTTAATCTGAGTCCCTCTCCCTTGCCAATGCTTTCCTTCATGCCTGTGTGGTCTGACTTGATTCCAGAAGAAAATTCAGGATTGTATTGCGTATCTCTTCCTCCCTAAAGTTGGCAGGATGCTTTTGCTTTTCTCCAGTGCTCCATGTGAGTGGATAATACCATCCACCACCCTAAAATATCATGTCTCTTGTAATCCTGCTCTATAAATCTGGAGCCCTTGCTCCTAGGAATTTTTTATAAGGAATTTAACCTCCGTAGGTATGGAAAAGACCCCCAACATCTTTTTAACACACATATTAGAATTGGGTTTATATTTATATGAAGCCCTAGAATCTGAACAATTCTCAGATTTATAATGTATCATACAATAACCTTTTTCTTTAATCATCTCAAATCAACTGGCATTTGAGCCTTTCCAACTAAAGTAGGAGTTCTGTACTGCATTCTGTCAACATTAGGAGTCTTTATTAAGAAAGCTTCTGTCTAGTTTTTTCTTCAGAGGAAGAATTTTTGGAAAACCTTGTTACATTATGGTCAGGTTTTTCCAGTAGACACTTATTGCATAAGTCTTGTGCTTTGATGGTTAGTGATGCAGGAAATGGTGACGTAGCCTTGAGGCTCAGCCACTTCCTGTTCTTCCAGGATAATGTTCCAAAATGCAACCAGAACTTTAAAATTATTTCATTATAGACATCTATATTCCTTGAGAAAATTCTTTACTTGCTAAGTTGCAGGAATGAGTTAGGCAATAGAAGTGCAAAATGCATCTGCATTTCTGTGTTTGTTGCAGCTGGAAAAGGCCATGGATGTGCTCCAATGGGGAGTGACTATCCACAGTTCAAACTTCAATTTCAGGTTCTACTTTTGCAGAGTCATAAATTTGGGGGTTGAGACTGGATGGATCTGTAAGATCCATTCCAACCCCTAAAATTCTATAATTCTATGAAAAGTCAAATGATGTGGTTCTGAGATAATTAAGACAACCTTTCTGAGAGATAAATAGTTTTATTTCTTTGTTTTACTGTTGCAGGAATAAGGCAGACAGAATAAATACAGTTGATGGCCAAGATAGAATTGCAGATTAGGGATTTCTTGACGGTTAAGTTAAATGCATTGAATTGCATCCAGGGGAAGGAGGAACTGTGCAGTCAATTTAAGCCTACACTAGATTCCTTACTTCCCAAAGCTTCATGGCAAAGGAAATCTAGCAAATGTGTGCACTCTGTTGGTTACACAGATTCCACAAAGCATTAAAAAACTTGAAGAATATTTATTAACGGCTTTAAATTTAAAACTCATTATCCATTGCCCTATTGACCAGCTAAAGAGAGTTTCTGAGCACTCCTCTGGACCTGTGCCATGGGAACAGAAACGTTTGTTGGCTTAGCTAGGAATGTTTGGGAATGCTGGCAGTACCACTGGGTGAGTTAACGAGGACGTCTGCTCACTAAAGCACAGCTGCCACTGTTGTAGAATGTAAAGTAGTATGTTTTGTCAAAATACCTGTTTTAATTTATATTTTCTGACAGGAAGTTGTTTTTTTTAAAAAGTTGTTACCTGGTAAAAGTGTGTGGTGTTAGAACCAGAATTCTGAAAAGGCTTCTTCAGAGTTGAATCTTGTTATAAATTGATATCTACAACTTCTTTCTCAAGATGATAAGACTTGCAACTTGTTGCCTGAATTTGACCCAACGTAGTGTGAGTTGTGGGATGAAAGGAGACCACTGAGCAGTTTGGAAGAGAAATTTTGCAATATCACATAATTTCTGGTTTCCAAATAAAACTTGGAAATTTCTGATGAAATTTCTTGGGAGACCCGATGAACAGAAGGCTTAGAGTCCAATCCATGAAGTACATATGTAGTAAGAAAACTATTTTGTCTCGACACCTTTGAGTAACATCCTTAGAACACCAATTCCAAATCAGCCTCTCTGGTTTTTGACTTATATTACTTAAACTTTTGTGTTAAACATCAATCAATCAGAAAAGCAAAAATGTCTGCAGTTTGGAGTAAACAATGGACTCAGAATTATAAATGATTAAGTCACATATTGCCTCTTTTAGTACTGCTTAAACAAAAAAGCAAACAAAGAATAAATGAACTGAACCCCCTTATTCTCTAACATGTTCCATCTCTCCCAAACAGTTGGTTGCCTTAATATAAAAAAACCCTTGAAATTAGGAATCTTTTTTATTTTCAGTTCATTAATATTTACAGGAAGCTCTAGTAATCAGGACCTACAAAGAAGGTTATTTGCAGCCATATTCAGAAAGGTCTGACTTCTCCTTACCTAGAACTGAATTATTCTCCTATCTTTATTTTGTGAGCTTTTGTTTTTGATTCTGTGAGCAATCTGCATGTTATAAATAAATTTACTGAAGTAGTGCTGAGCTAAGCAGAAAGGATTGGAAATATTCCTCTCAAAGAAAACATAAGCTGACAAAACATACTTGAGAGACATTGCCTGTGTATGTTCTTATCTTTTCACCTGCTTCTCTTGAAATTTCCCTAGATCATAGATGAAGAAGAAACACAGTTCATGAGCAATTGTCCTGTGGCAGTGACTGAGAGCACACCCAGAAGAAGGACACGAATTCAAGTCTTCTGGACAGCTCCTCCCACTGGGACAGGCTGTGTCATTCTCAAGTAAGTATTCTAAGGCATATTAAACTCACCATTAATCAGTTAATATGTCTAATATTTATTGGATTAAGAACCGATGGAGTTCTTAGATTCTTTTTTCTCCTTTGACACACTTGACCAAATTTAATCCTCCTTGCACAGTGAAATGTTAGCAATTTAAAGCCTAAATATTCAAAAGTTGCTTCAAGCCTTCAATAACCACTTAATCAGTAACCATAATTGAACTTGTTAGGCTCTCAGTCATTTGTTTTACATAAAAATCTAAAAATTCTAAAATTTTAAGGTCAAAATTGTATCCATCTCTTTGAGACTCACGTAAAATTCATGTTCTTAGTTGAGATGAACAATAGGAATGTTCTATAGATTTTGGATTTTCTAAATGGACCATAAAAGTAGATCTGTTTGTTTAGGGGTGAATGTTTTCATTTCAGAGCTGGTGATCATTCCCTAGTGTTTGACTGTTATTGCACACCAATACGTGTATTCATGCTTTTCAAGCAGTAGACAAAGGTAACACTATGTAGGTGCACTTTGCTTTAGGGTCATTCATTTGCCTGTAGAACTATGAAGAGTGCCAGAGAAATGTTGTCCTATACATTTCTCTGTAGGATTTTCAGGGGTTTGAACCCTGTCTTGATCAATCGGGTTTAATATTTTGTTCAAATGAGTAAAAACTCATTAAAAAGACCCAACTCTTTTTCCCCTGCTTATATACTGTCATGCTTGGTTTAAGATATTCTACTTTTCATAAAAAGCAGGAGGGTACATGTGCATTTTTATTTGTTGTATCGGACAGCTAATATTCAGAGATTGTGCTTAATTCCATAAGGAAACCCCAACTAATGGAGATTTATATTTTTTCACAAGGAAAGTCTTAAGTATAGATTTCAAATAGTGATTTACACTATTGACAAGAAAAGGACAATTAATGTTTATTGGAAGTTTCTTAGTAGAGATGGAGAATCATCTCTTTTAGATCACTTAGAGCCCCAAGTTTCTAGAGTTGAGTGGTTAGTTGTATTCCTCAAGGTTGTGTCTCAGCTGAGTGTGGTACTGAGCAGGTGGGTAAAGGTCTGACCCTTGTAATCAGTGGGAAATACAGAACAAACAACTTTCTGCAAGTCTTGTAGAATTTTGTAATATAATACAAGGGTGAAGAAAATTATGTTAATTATCTTAGCTCGTAACATATTAAAATTTCATGGTTGGGAGAATCTTGTTAATACCCAAATTGAGTAAATGTGTCAGTGGGTGTAGATGTCATGAGGAGTTGAGTATTGTGAGATGATGATGATCTTTTCCTCCCTTAGCATTTGGTGATTTTCACTGAGTCTGAGATTAATTGCTAATATAGTAAGTGATGGCCACGTGCAGATTAAGTTATATTCAATTTACCATTTGGAGGAGAAACCAGAGTTCTCTGACTGGCTCATGAAATGATCTCAGGCAACTCATGTGACTTGTGTGCTCAATGTAGCAAAAGTTCTTGCTGACAAGTTATTTATGTGCAGTTGTTTTGATGTGCTTTCGTTTTCCCCCATTCTTCACTTTGAAGAGTTGTAGTAGAATGTGCTCAGCTTTGAATGGCTAGGGACATAGATTGGAGGTGAGTAGATTTGGGGCCATTCCTGTCCTTCACACTGGGTTATTATATCCAGCTCAACTCATTTTTCATTGCCTCTGTTTCCTCCAAAGCAACTAGAGGCCAGTGACTCTTTATGAACCCCTGTAGGATAGAAAAGCTTGTGTGTTAGTGGTGCCCTATTCTGATTCCTTAAAAATAACTCAAGTGTTATCTTCATCCAGCTGTTTTTAAAAAAACAACCCAAAGCAAATAGGAAAAGTCTAAACTTTGCAATCTTACAGCCATATATATATATTTTATTTTTTTTTGTTAAACACCCACAGAGAGTTTACTTGTATTAGGAAGAAAGAATAACCTTCTGCATTTCTAGATAGCTTCTGTATTTATAGCAACTTTAATGGTGGATGTAAAAATGCATATTTGCATTTCAATATATACAGTAGCAGCCCCCTGGATCTACTGAAACATTTACATTTCAAACCAAAACCCCTTTCACTTTCATTTTCTCACAGATTTGCTGTCGTTTCTTTAACTTCACAGTAGGAGCACATGAATGTGGAAAGTGTTCTAAATGGATTTGCTTGTCATTTTTTGTGTTCTTCTAAATAATCTTTTGTTATGGCACAATTAATGCAGTAATCCAATAAAATCGAGTTAGATCCATTCATATTTTGTTTTGTTTGCAAAGGCATAGTGGTGTTGCAAAGCAGCTTAATGGTTTTGCTGCTCAGAGATGGGTTTATTCCTTGAGGAGGGCAAAGCAATAGAAAAACGATGAGAAAACATAGTAAGGAGAGGATAGTGCTCTTTCCTCTAGTGGCAGGGGGAATATAGTTACAGCCTTGTTAGGAAAGATAATATTTGTAACTGCTTCCCACTGTACCTTGAAAATGCCTCTGATCATTTTCTATTAAAAAAGTCAGTGTCGTGGTACATTTTGTGGTAAATGGAAGCAATGTGTAGTTATTTTCATTGGGCCCTATGGTTATTATTTTGCACAAATGGATTTGGCTGAAATGAGCTGTTTTGCAAAAAACAAACAAACAAACAAACCCAAAAAAAACCCCAACAGCCACAAAAAACCCAACAACAATTAAAATTATTCACTGATGTGCCGTGGGGTAGGAATGCAGACATTAGAAAAGTTCAACAGACTTTATGACAAGACACTGAATATCAGTTTTCTTTTTTATCAGCATTGTGTTTTCCCCAAGCTTCATGGGGAAAGACTTCAATAAAAGCTAATTATTAAGGTTAACAGGATACAAGCACAGAACTGATCAGAAGCCACACAAGTTCTAATTTGGGATTTTTGCAAAAACAATGGGATTTTTACAACCTTCATTTTTATTTCCTAACAGTTGCATATGCCAAATTTCTTGCTGCTTCAAGTTCCTCAGCACTGTTCGACCGATACTTAAACGTTTAAATTGTGCACATGAAAAATCACATTAGCCTTGTCTGAACTTTCTCCAAATGATGCATATCCTTGAATTCTGGTACCCAGAGCTGGGCACTGTTATCCTAGAGATGCTTCCCATGACTTCCACTGGAATGTTTGCTGGTTTTCATAGAGTAACATTTACTTGAGCTCAGCTTCTGATCTGCTAGACTTCCTTCAGCCTGCTATCAAATATATTGCTACTAAGGATTTTTCCTTTTGTGCAAATAATTACACTCATATAAAACTAGGACTTTGTGTCTAAGATTATTTAATTGCAGTGTGGTAGTGTCTGCAGTCAGTAACTCGTTCTGTTCCATCATTCAAGCTATTCATAAAAATATTGGTGCATGCATAAGCACACTGAGCTTGAAATTCTTCCATGAGTTCCAGCTGAGTCCTAAACATATGAAAAAGCAAATGAGATTGTTTTACAAGTATCAACACTGCTGTCTAGAGAATTCTGCCATCTACTCCTGATGTAATGAATGTAAGCATTTGAGGTAAAAGTCTGAAAAAAAGCTGCTAGTTTGATGGTTGTGTATTTACAAATATAAATAGATGCATGAAAAATCAAGAAAATGTTTTCCAGTAGTTTTCTTTATTGACAAAATCTGCATTGGAGGAGGATAAATCCTCAATGACTTATTAAATCTACTTACATATCCTGGAGGGAAATGCAAAAAAGGATTTAAGACATGTAAGGAGGGAAGTTCTCTGAAGTATCTCACACTGATTTTGTCTGATTTTTTTTTTTTGTTCCTAGTAAGTGGGGAAATCAAATCTTTCTGGGCAAGTCTCTAGTAAAGTCTGTGTTTTCATAAATTTCAAGTAGTGGGATGAGAAAAAACCCACAACTCCATAATTTGCTTGTTGTTTGCTGTTTGTAAATGAAAATAATTGTTAATTCAGGAGCCTGACAGCTGGAGAACATTTGCCATTCAGCAGCAGCTGTCAGTGGCACTCCAGTTTATTTTACAAACAGATGTTTAATTTGACTTCAAGGCCATTGTCAATTTTTGAGGGGAAACAAAGAGAGAAAAGGAATAGAAATAATAATGATAGTCATAATTTGATTTCCTTACGGTGGAGTTGCTATTGATGACATCAGAAGTGTTGTCATTTTTTATTGCTGAGGGGTTTAAATGAGTTTTCATGACCTGACATTGTGCATGGGAACTCATGGAAGGAACTGCTTTGCCTTATGTCAGGAGCTGAAGGCATTGTTTGAACTTAATAGGATGCATTTTTCAAGTCTGTATTTTATTCATGAGTTAAAATGTCACTATTTCTGCAGTTTAGAGAGGAAGAGATTTTTTTGTCTCTGCATTAAAAGCAGGACAGCAGTGAGCCCACTGTCATACAAACATGGTGTTTGCTGGAGTACAGTAGTAATCTCATTTCACATCAACTAATGTGAAGGGCAAATTGGGGATGGTGATGATGAAAGAAGGTAATGAAAAATCTAAGTAGTGTAATGTGATTAATTTTTAATTTTAGTCACCTGTTACTGTATCAGTGTGTGCCCAGTGACTGGGAGACTTAGGAAAATGTGACCTTAGAATATCTTGGCAAGATCCTCCATTATTCAAATGTCTATTGACTGAGACAGAAGAGTCGACGTTGGCAGTGAATGGTCCCAATCCTACAACATTTGACAATTCATTGGTGTTACAAAGTCTAGTTTAAAGTAGTCATAAAGGTAGCACAACTTGCTGGTTGTTTGCTCCTTCCTAGTGTGGCCAGCTCAGGTATTTCAGGACAATTCTCTGAGGGTGTGTAAGTAAACCTGCAATTAAATTGAAGAAGTTCTATTGGCTATGCCATTTTGTATGAAATTTTCAATATTAGCAAGATTTTTCCAGCATGCTGATGTAAATATTTGCTGAGGTGTCTGCATGCCCACAGAAATCCAGAGCAGCTCTGCAGAGCACGTTTTACAGTTAACATTTCAAGCACAGCTGTATTTTAGTGTGA